CTAAGGCACTTGACTGCTAACCAGAAGGCTGGCGGTTCAAACCCACCAGCCACTCCTCAAAAGGAAGGTTGGGCAATCTACTTCTGTAGTGATACCACCTCAGAAACCCGAGGGGTTGCTGAGTCAGACCGAATCAACAGCACATAACAACATGACTTCCTTTGCTTATATAAATATATATTCATACAAGGGTTTGAGGTTCTCCTTTTTTTCTTTTAAGGTCTAACTTACTAGTAGCATTTCATAGTATAGATATATCATGATTCTATCATTGAAGTAAATTTACCCACATTTATTTATTTTTCATTCCTTCTGCAATTCTAAGGAGACTTGCTAGCTTAGTGGTTAAGCACTTGGCTGCTAGCTAACCAATAGATCGGTGGTTCAAACCCACCAGCCACTCCACAGGAGGAAGATGTGGCAGGCAGTCTGCTTCTGTTAAGATTTCCAGCCTTGGCTACCCTATGGGGCAGTTCTGCTCTCTGTCCTATAGGGCTGCTGTGAGTTGAAGTTGACTCAATGGCAGTAGGTTTGGTTTTCTGCAATTCCATTAATCAAAATATACTGATATACAGGCATTACTATACACTGCTCACATAAGCACTGAAGAATTAACCAACAAGTAGGTGTAGCATGCTAAAAAATTTAATAAAGAAACTGCATTTCTTCTGAGGAATAACACATGCCCAGGGAAAAAAATGTCAATGGTAGGATAGATGATACATCATTGTATTCTAGCCTGCATTATTTCTTTAGCCTCTAAAGCTACACTAGCAATGTGCCCCAAACCAATTTCATTTGTAACATCCCTGCCCAAGAATCTGAACATGTAGAAGCCAAGCCAATTAAATAAATATTTATGGAGAATAACATCTTAAACCTTTAGTTACTGTTTTAAAAATGAAAAAGAGCATTCAGTAAAAACTGCCTATTACACATTCTGTGAAACAGGATGTTACATAATTTGGATGTTGTGCAAACACTGTATTAAACTTTCTGGGAACCTGCTTCCGTTCACCCTCATCACACGAGAGAAAGCAAGTGGGGAGGAAGCAGGCACACTGTCCTGCTTGCTGTTCCACCTGCCTGAGCAGGAGAAGCAACCTGTCTGGTACCACCATTGCTACTCCTGCCTGCTGGGCTTGCCCCACCTGCCTGTATCCCACCCATGGTCCGTGCTGTAAGAGTATGAGTTTAGGGTCTTTAAAACCATTAAGGTGGAATAATAAGCAAAAGCAGAACTGCTTAAAAAAAGAAAGAAAAAAACCCACCTTATGGGACCACTCGTATGCAACTGGATGTTGTGAAGTAACACATACCTGGATTCTATCGACATTGAATGAAGAAAGTTAATGTTTCCTCAGAAATTTCTTGAATTGTAGTTCTTACTTGAACAGTCTGCTCCGACTTTTAAGATGCATAATACTAACAATTTCTAATCAATTTATAAACTGCACTTAGAAAAAATGTTTTTCCAACTCATGTACTACATAGTACGTATTATACACCAATATACAAAAGAGAAATACAATAAAAGGTACCAAATTTTCTTGTATACAAGAGGGTGTTGGTTCACAAATAATGTTAATTCTTAAGTACTACTGCAATAGTCTATTTTAAAAAATCAGTAATAGATTCAAACAAATTCTTTTTTCCATCTGAATCTACTAGATTTAAGCTTTATGTTCCTTTTAGCTTGAAAAATAGGCAGGGTTTAAGAAATACAGCTCTAAATAACTCAAAGGAATAAAAAGCTTTATTTTAAAAACTCATATAGGCTTCAAAAGAAAACTGTCCATTTACTAAGCACCCACAGAGTGCCGGACATGATAAAACATTGAAAGATTTAGTTCATGCTCTTGTAGAGCAAGATTGACCATTGTATCATGCTCATTTCTGCATGGCGATGTTGTAATTCCATTGTTATAAAATGACCAGTTCTTGAAGACTTGCTTAAGAAACAAGTACAAGTAGATCATGCAGGTTAATGCAGAAGTCAAATGGTGAAGTCTGTTTGTCCACTGTTACACTTAATGTCCTCTCCCTGTTTAAGAAAAAAATTAAAGTATTAAGAGTATAGAAAAATGAACTTTAAGGCCAGAGTATCAAATTAGCATGAGTAGTACTTGTCATTTTAAGCAAACTACTTGTATCAAATTAAATTACCACTCATATTATCTTTTTTTTGGGAGCTCTGGTGGCATAGTGCCTAACCAGCAGGCTGGTGGTTCAAACCCACCAGCCACTCCTCAGAAGGAAGACTGGGCAATCTACTTCCATAGTGATACTGCCTCAGAAACCCAAGGAGGGGTTGCTGAGTCGGATCTGATTCGATGGCAGTGAGTATGGTATGGTATTATCTACTTTTTAAATTGCCTTTTAAGAGAACATTTCACATGATTCAAATGATCATTTCTGAAATGATCAGTTAGTATATAAAATGTAGTAAAATTAAAGATAAATAGGAGTGGAGCTCACAACGCCTATCAATTCTGTGGATAAGACATTAGTATTTTAGGTTTTAGAGGACTGAAGTGGCTTAAACATATACAGAAAACCACAGCAAACTCAGTGATAAGAGATTATCTCCTATCAAAACCTGAATAGTATAAATCAGAAGTAGGTGAAAAAACAAAATTTATAAATAAGAAAAAGGAAAGGCTAGAGTAATATAAAATGAAGTCATAAATTAGGCTACAAAGAACAACACAATACTCTATATACTTACTGGTAGAGAGAAATAAGTAAAAAGAGAAAATGGTAGACAATAGCAATTATAAAACTGAATCATTTAAAGACTAACACTTCTTTTTCCCACTCACCTCTGAAACCACCACCTCCTCTTCCTCCTCTGAAGCCTCCACCTCCTCTTCCACCTCTAAAACCACCTAAAAAAAAAAAGAAGCATGAATTAAATTGTAGTATATCATTCTAATAAACCAACAAAGATCAATACAATTTCTACAATTATAAAGATTAAGAAATGCTGATTCACATATTTTACCCTACAGAATTTTTTAAAAGAGCATGATGGAGGAACTCTAGTAGTAGGTACTCAGATGAAACAAGTGCTGTTTTAATAAGCAATGTCAGATAAATGGCACAAAGACTGAGGATGTCGAGGATTTCATTTTACCTGGATCCACAATCAATGCCCACAGAAGGAGCAGTCAAGAAAGTAAATGACCTATTGCACTGGGCAAAGTTAAAAAGCAAAGACACCACTTTGAAGACTAAGGTGCACCTGACCCAAGATGTTTTCAATCGCCTCATAAGCAAGTGAGAGCTGGACAATAAAGAAGATGGAAGAAAAATCGATGTCTTTGAATTATGGTTTTGGTGAAGAATACTGAATATACCATGGACTGCCAAAAGAACAAAAAAAATCTGTCTTGGAAGAAGTACAGCAGAATGTTCCTTAGAAGTGAAAATGGCGAGCCTTCATCTCTGGGACTTTGGTCATGTTATCAGGAGGGATCAGTTCCTGGAGCAGGATCTCAGGCTTGGTAAAGTAGAAGATCAGTGAAAAAGAGGAAGACCCTCAACAAGATGGATGGACACAGTGGCTGCAACAATAGCCTCAAACATTGCAAAGATAGTCAGGATGGCACAGGACCAGGTAGGGTTTCGCTCTGTTGTACTTAGGGTCATTATGAGTTGGAACTGACTCGATGGCACCTAACAACAACTGTCTTAATGGATTAAAAAAGCTTTTTATATTAAACCTGGTTTAGCCCTAATGCTAAGTGTATGCCTACTTTAGCTTTTGCTTATGATAAATAATTTTGAACTACAGATAAAGGCTTTTTATCCTAAGAAGAGAGATTGGCAGGTATGGGTGTACTTTGCTATTGTTGTTGTTTGCCATCGAGTCAGCCCCGACTCTTAGCGATCCCTCCTTGGGTTTCCGAGGCAGTATCACTATGGAAGTAGGAATGCCCAACCTAATAAATATGTTCAAGGTTAATTGAGATGCATATGGACCTTAGCTGATGCTCACGTATTGATGGTCCCCAAAATTTTTAGATTTCTTAAGCATATTTCTACCATGCAACACATCTGGCTTTCTATTTTTCACTCTCAATTTTTACTTATTTATATAAATAAATGTTGATTCTTATATAAAGAATGAATACTTACAAAAAGGTGAAAAGTAAACATATACTTCTAAAACACTGGTATAGAAATATAAGATAAGGCTTTAGGAGCATATAGAGCTGTGAATTTTTTTTTTTTTTTTTTTGAAAAATGTTAAGTATTAGATTGAATACAGAATGGTAATGAGAAGATCTCCATTCATCAAATCTCAAGGGTCCCCTCCAAAAAGGAACCCTGGTGATACAATGGTTAAGCATTCAGCTGCTAACCAAAAGGTCTGTGGTTCAAAGCTATCAGCGGTTTAGCAGGAGAAAAGACCTGGCAATGTGCTCCCACAAAGACTACAGCCTCCTCTGTCACACTGGATCACTGAGTCAGAATTGACTTGACGGCACACACTATCACCCTCCAAAAATATTTAAAATACATTCAGATCTTTTTAAGAGACTACCTTCTATCTAGCTCAAAATACCTACATTTGTAGAATGAAATGATGATCAAATCGACAGAAGATGAAAACAGGGTTTTCTCACTTTTTTCATTCAGTAACAGAAACTATCTAAGCTCAAGTTTCAATTCCTCTTCCTTACCACTTTAGCTCTGCCCATCATCCTGTCAATCACCCACCCCACTATTCACAGATCTAAGCAAACCCAATGCTACAGCCTACCCCACTCTCATTGTCTATCTGCCCTTAATAGTGAATATGCTAGAGCCTTGGGAAAATACTTCAAAATACTGAAATCATAACTAAAAATTTATTGGTAATATTCCTTGACATGGTATCAGAAGACATGAGCTCCAGTTGTGGGTCTGCCAATTATTTGATTGGGAAAATTTACTTTTATAAACCTCTGTTTCCTTATTCATAAAATAATGGTAATATCACCGACCTTACAAGGTTCTGATGAGTGTTAAAAGAAAACCAAAACCCACTGCCACAGAGTCGATTCTGACTTAGTGACCCTTATAGGACAGAGCAGGAGCTCTGGTAGCATAGTGGCTAAGACACTTGCCTACTAACCAGACGGCTGGCGGTTCAAATCCACCAGCCACTCCTTGGAAGGAAGGTTGGGCAATCCTACTTCCGTAGTGATACTGCCTCGGAAACCCAAGGAGGGGTCGCTAGGAGTCGGGGCCGACTCGACGGCACATAACAACAACAACAACAACATAGGACAGAGCAGAACTGCCCTGTAAGGTTCTGAAGGCCTTAAATCTTTACAGAAGCAAACTGCCTTATCTTTCTCCCCTGGAGCAGCTGGTAGGTTCGAACTGCTGATCTTTGGGCTAGAAGCATAATGCTTTAAATCTTTACAGAAGTAGACTGTCTCATCTTTCTCTAACAGAGCAGCTGGTGGGTTTGAACCAAGAACCTTTTCATGAACAGCCCAATGCTTTAACACAATGCCACCAGAGTATTAAAAGATAATGGATGTTAACAATATGTATGACTAGATCTTGGCACACAAGCAATACTCACTAACATTAACTAAGAAATTAAAATTACGGTAATCTTATACTTTATTAAAATGCCCAATAAAACATGAATACCTTAAGATATGAAACTCCTGAAAAGCATACCTTATTAGATTTTTCTTTTTAAATAAGTGGTTGAAACTAAGCATTAGCACTATGGGCAATCTGAGAAGATATGAAAGTAGCTTTACTAAAAAGAAATAAACTTAAGGGTATTTTGATTATATACAAAATCAAATTGTACTACATAAAACCAAACCCACTGCCATCAAGTCAATTCCAACTAAAATGTAAGAGAAAATGAATTTGCTGTGACTTTGAAATCTCACTAGAAAATTTCCCCAACAAGTAACTTACCACCTCTACCGCCACCTCTGCCACCTCCTCCTCTTCCTCCTCCTCGTCCTCCTGCTCCTCCTCGACCTCCCCTGCCACCGCCTCTTGGAGGTCCTTTCTCACCTGGAGGTCGAGGTAAAAACCTCTGCAATGGTAGCAGCTTGTATGGGTCTATGTAAAACTGAAAGTATAATAGAAGCAATGAGTATGATCACTCGGGACAGTACAGTGAAATCATTAAGAACCTAGATGTAAAGACTGCCTGGATTCAAATCCCAACTCTACCACTTATTAGCATAGTAATAAGTCCTTACTAGGCAAGGACTTAATTACTTCGTGCCTTAAATTTTGTCATCTGTAAAATGAAGATGATAATAAAGTATCTATCTCACATAGCTATGATAAGAATCAAGAGTAACAATGTACATAAAAAATTAAAAGTTTTGGCACATAATAAGCACTGTTGTCATTGTTGTTGTTATGTGCCGTCGAGTCGGACCCAACTCATAGCGACCCCTCCTTGGGTTTCCAAGGCAGTATCACTACGGAAGTAGATTGTCCCATCTTCTTTCCGAGGAGTGGCTGGTGGGTTTGAACCACCAGCTTCTGGTTAGCAGTCAAGTGTCTTAGCCACTATGCTACCAGAGCTCCTATGATAATATAAAAATATATTATATATTTTTATATATTATATTATATATATAATATTACATATATAAATATATATTTTTTATATATTATATATATATAAATATATTATGTAATTAATAAACATTACATGTGTATAAATAAAAGCCAAAAACAATTCAATCTCTTTTTCTCTTTGGAAATAGACAATGCCTTCAACAATTTAATTACATTTTCCTGCAACAGCAATGCTGTAAGAAAAATAAAACTATTAAAAATTTAACATGAAAATACAAAATAAAGCACTGACATATTAGCTATTCCAAGATTTTAATAAAGGATAAATCAGTAAAATACTGAACATACAACATAACAGAGAATACAGAGTTATAGGGCATTTTTCATGATAATGAAATGTAAAGGGGTAAACTGTTTCAGTTCCTCTATACAGAATACCCAAAGAGGATTTCAAAACTATATTTGTTGCTATCAAGTCAATTCCACCTCATAGTGACCACATAAGACAGAACAGAATTGCCCTAGAGGGATTATTCCAAGGCTATAATCTTCATGGAAGCAAACTGCCACATCTTTCTCCCATGAGGTTGGTTAGCAGCCAAGTGCTTAACCACTATCCAACCAAAAAGCTCTGTAACTATAATACAGTTACTTAAAATAAGGTATCTGTATCTCTCTCTACCTTATCATTCTTCTTCCCTTCACAGTCAATTCTCTCAAATATATCACCTATATCTATACCGTCAAATGCTATTCATAAGGTTTTCAGTGGCCACTTTTTTCAGAAGTGGTCTGCCACATCCTTCTTCCCAGTCTGTCTCGGTCTGGAAGCCCACTGGAACCTGTCCACCATGGGTGACTCAGCTGGTATTTCACTATCACTGGCATATCTTCCAGTATCACAGCAACAAGCAAACCATCACAGTACAACAAACTGGCTGAAGAACAAACAAAATCTGTCCTGGAAGTAGTACGGCCAGGATGCTCCTTAGAACCAAGAATGGTAAGACTTCATCTCTAGTACTTTGATCATGTTAAGGAAATCATGCTTGGTAATACACAGGGTCAGCGAAAAAAGGCAAGACCCTCACTGAGATGGACTGACACAGTGGCTCCAATGATGGGCTCAAGCATAGCAACGACTGTGATGATGGTACAGAACCAGGCAGTGTTCCATTCTGTTGTACACAGGGGTCATTATGAGTTGGAATCAACTCCATGGCAACTAACAACAACATACTGTCAAATACAATAGCCATTAGCCACAAGTCACTATTTAAACTAACAAACAATTAAAAAGTCAATTACTGAATCACACTAAAGCAACTTTTCAGGTGCTCAACAGCTACATGTGGCTAATGGCTACTGTACTGGAGAGCATCACTGCTTAAAGTTCAAATGGATAGCACTGAACTAGAGATTATAATAACCTAGGCTAGATAAGGAGGACTCATCTCCAACACCTCAGTGGATCTACAAATGGGGAGAAGCAGATACAATGAACTTAGCCCATGATTAAAAAACACTAAAGAATAAATCCTCAAATAAATAATACTGTGAGAGAAGGAAGGCACCCACATCCACTTTAGTGTGTACTGCATGCAAAAACACATTTTTTTCATGTCACCAAATGAAAAGTCCTTCTCAGCACTCTTTGTTTCTGGGCTCTTCAGCTCTAGGCATACCTGAACCCAACCTTTTGGGCTGTCAGATTTATATGGCCAGTAGCCATATAGTAGCAACAAGGTAGTATCTCTTCCTCATCTCCTATTCCAATACGGTTTCTAGTTCCACAACCCCATTGATTAACCACCCTGATAACTGCTGTGAATACTTTTTACCAACATTTTATCACAGGTCAGTACTCCCTCCAGGAAACATTGTCCTTACAACTTTTATACCACATTTACAATACCTTCCTGGGTTTGCCCCTTCACAATTTCTTCTCAGTCTCCACTAACAGGCAATTAAATTTGGGAGGTGCCTCAAAGCCCTACCCAAAAAAAAACCTGTCACCGAGTTGGATCCAACTCATATAGTGACCCCTCCTTGGGTTTCTGAGGCTGTATCACTACGGAAGTAGATTGCCCAACCCTCCTTCCCAGGAGTAGCTGATGGGTTCGAACTGCCAGCCTTCTAGTTAGTAGTCAAATGCCTTAGGCACTATGCCACCAGAGCTCCTTCAAATCCCTAGAGGTGCTCTTTTTCTTTCACTCTATTTTCTTCCTATACTGTCTGTACACTGACATCTTCTCAAGTCTATATAGCTAATCTAGCCTTGTCCTTTGAGCTCCTGGCCCACTTTTGTCCAATTATCTGACAACTGTTTTTGACTATTTCATGAATACCTCAAACTTAAGTCCAAAACTGAACTAATTATCTTTGTCCAAGTCCCCTCTTCTCCAGGGCTGCCTATTTCAATGAATGGTGTCATCAGCCACAAACACCATGATACCAGACAGACATGTGAGAGATTGTGACTTGTTTTTTACTTCTTTGACTTCAATAAACAAACCAAATCTGTTGTTGAGCTGATTCCAACTCAGAGTAACCCTACAGGAAACCCCCATAGGGTTTCCAAGACTAAAAAACCCTTCTCAGCACTGTTTCTTTCCGGGCCCTTCAGCTCTTTACTGCCACGTCTTTCTCTTGTGGAGCAGCTGATGAGTTTTAACTGCTGATCTTTTAGTTAGCAGCCAAGTGTTTAAACACTATGTCACCAGGGCTCTTCCTTGACTTCAACAGGCAATCAATTACAAACTCCTATCAATTCCAGTGATAGGGCAGGACAGTGTTTTTGTTCTGCTATACACAGGGTCACAAATGACTCACTAACACCTAACATCACTCCTGCGAAGGAGCCCTGATTTAAAATTAAAGTATAAACTCTTTCCCATGGCCTAATAGCCTTACATGATCCAGCTCCTGCTTATCTCTCCAGTCTCAATTTACAACTTTCCCTACCCCTTCTAAGTGTGCTGTGTAAAGCTACACGCCTGTCTTCTTTTGGACCCTTAAAAGTTGATTCCTGCCTCAGGGATTTTGCACATAGCATTTTCTTTATTTTCAAGGAGTTTTGGTGGCACAGTTGTTAAAGCATACAGCTGCTAACCAAAAGGTTGGCAGTTTAAACCCACCAGCCATTCCACATGAAAAGATGAGACAATCTGCTTCCGTAAAGATTTACAGCCTTGGAAACTCTATTGGTCATTCTATTCTGTTCTATAACAAGTACTGGTGGCACCATGCCTAAGCATTTTACTGTTAACCAGAAGTTTCACAGTTCAAACCCACCACTTACTTCCGTGAACATTTACTGCCTCAGAAACTCACACGGGGTCACTATGAGTCGGAATTCACTCAGTGGAGGGAGGGTTTTTTTTTTTTTTTTTTTTTTTGGTACTCTGTTCTACAGGGTCGCTATGAGTCAGAATTGACTCGATGGCAGTGGGTTTGGTTTTGGTTTGGTTATTTTCTCTATTTGGAATGCACTTCTTCTTTGACTAGCTCCGTGGTTTCCAAGTACTAGCCTAAATGACATCAAAATCATCTGGGAGCTTTCTATTTTAAAATTGATTCCTGGGCCCAACCTAATACCCACTGAGTCGAATTTCTAGGAGTGGGACCAAATAATACTAATGTGCAATAAAATTTGGGAATCATTCCTAAACAATTTTCATGTTTCAGCTTCAAACCTACTTTCCCAGGGAAACTAATAAAGACTGCATTTAATCCCACTGCAAATATTCTCATAGCAAACTGCATTTCTCCTTCAAATTTAGATTGATAGATTAATATTTGGTCATCCAAATTTTTTTCAATTTAAACAAAAAAGAAAAGAAAAACCCTGGCAGTTACAGAATTTGCTAATATGAGCAAGGAATACTTTCTGAAAGGTTCTATCACATAAATCACCATTAAAGCTCAGTAAGTCAATGTTTGAAATACATCTCTTATACATCTCAGTTTAAGAGCTTCACTAATGATGTATTTAAACCGTGGATGTCTCAAGTGTGCCAGGGATAACTGTCATAAGGAAGGTCATTCATTTTTAAAAGAAAGCACTATTAGTATCATACACTTCACTCACCTTCTGTAGTTTTTTAAAGGAAGATGCCTTCATGTTTTCTGATAATTTAACTGAAAAATACTATTAACTGTATAAAGGAACAAATAAGATCAAAGAAGTATCAAGCCTTGTGAATTCATGTGTAATTTTAAAAATAAGATTATAATAGACAGAAGGAATAAGAAATATACTGGACCACCAAGAGAAAATGGGGGGAAAATAAAGGAAAAAACACCTTCTAATTCTCCCATACTATTCCAGTGGCACCATCATATCCAGAGCCAAACCTCAATCCTGTAGCACTTATCCAGAAGGTACTACAACTTACTCCCCCCCAGAAGAAGCCACCCTTCTAAGACCCATCCTTTTAACATATATAGATGCATACTCTCCCTTATGATTCTCCTTTATGGTCCAACCTATAGTAGTAATTACTCTGTATGATATAGTAAGGCAACAAATTTCATTAACTCAATACTTAATCACCTCAGAAAAAGCAATAGTAACTTTTGAATGTGATCACTAGGTCTTACGATTAAAAAGGATACAAAATCTCTAAGCTGTCCAAATATTTCGTCCACTTTTCCAATTTGTTCTTTGTTTTCTAAATAAACAGGAGCATTGAAGTAAGGCACCTTATTTTCATCTGTGACACATTTACAAATAATGTCATCTTCACAGGGGTGCATGAACTCTCCTAACACTGAAATAGGACAAGGAAAGGATAATACATAAAGCTATCTCAAATGATACTGCCCAACCTCTTCTGAAGCTTCCTGGGATGTCACCGTAACTGTTATCTAGCCCAGAAGATAACAGTCATTAAGAGTGCCGACTGTGGATTCAGTCTTTCTTGGGCTGGTATACCAACTCCACAATGTACTAGCTATGTGATCTAAGTAATTCACTCTGTCTCCGTCAGTCTTCTCATCTTTAATATGGGGCCAGTAACAGTACTTCCATCTAATCCTCATGATATCATGAGGATTAAGTAGAATAATGCTTTACTGTAATTATTATTTGATTGAACAATGCTTCATTGTCCTGGTTTCTCTTCCTTCTCTCTAATCCCTATGAATTAATCATTTCCCTGTTGTGCTTTTTCTTCTTCCTCCCTTAGAACATACCATTTCCCACTACTTCTTCACCAATGACTCTTCAACTTTTCAAAAATGTCTGGAATTGCAAATAACCACACTTCTAACTGAATGTCAGCTCAAACTGAAATACTCATCACATTCTTGCAAAACCAGCTCTATGTTACTGTCACTCAGAATCACTTAAGGCTATGGCTTAATGTTCTATTCCTGTGTACATTAATTAGCCCAGTTATATTATTAGGAGCTCCGGTAGCCTAGTGCCTAAGGCACTTAACTGCTAACCAGAAGGCTAGCAGTTCAAACCCACAAGCCACTCCTCAGAAGGAAAGTTGGGCAAACTACTTCTTTAGTGATACCGCCTCGGTAACCCAAGGAGGGGTTGCTATGAGTCTGGTCCAACTCAAGGGCACATAACTGATTTTATTTCCTTTACAGTCTCTCTCCCACATAATCCTTTCTTTCATTCTCACTTCATCTGTCCTAAATCAGGACTTTGACTCTTGTGTTCTTCTCTTCAAGGCATCCTGCATACTGATCCAGCCTACATACATTGGCTATTAATAAACACTGCTCAACCTCTCTCTCTCTCTCTCTCTTTGTAAGTTTCTATCATATTAGGTTCTAACTTCTGTCTCACTTGCCATATCTTCCACCCCATGTTAATGACTCCAAAACTGCTCTAATTAGGTCTTCCTCTTGCTTCCCCTCCTGAGTAAAGCTTTTCTTCTCTTCTCTTCTCTTACTTACGAGTAATAATTCAAAGCATGGGTTCTGAAGTCAGAAAAGCTGTCTGTGTATCTCAAACATATCACATACTATTCATTTACCACTAACTTTATAGGAAAGATATTTAACCGAATCACAGTTTTCTTATCTGTACAATAGGGAAAACTAAAGCACTCAATATTACCTAATTACAGCTGTTAACTCTTTCAGTAAAAGCTCAGGTTCCACCTCCATGACGCAATCTAAGCGTCCTTCGCCTCTTGCTCACCCCCTTACACGCTACAGCTTGATTACAAGTCAATTAACAGTACTATCCACCAACAAACTTGCCTTCCCAACCAAGCAGCAACCTCCACACGACAGCTCCTGAAACTACCCTTAAGTACCTGGCTCCAAGTCAAACTTGTTGACTGACAACACAAGCCCCAATCCCAAGGAAGCCACGCTCTGAGACTGACATACAAACTACACGTTCTGGAGGTCCCTGGTCTTGGAATTTGTTAAAACCTCCACGGCCACCCCCTCGTCCAAATCCGCCTCTGCCGCTGCCGCCGCCTCTGAAACTGCCGCCGCCTCCACCTCGAAAATGGTTGTTGTTGCCGCCACCGCCGCGACTGAAGCCGCCACCTCCAGCCCCTCGATTAAAGCCTCCACGACCTCCGCCTCGAAAAGACATGGTCTCTCGTACCTGGTGAGAAAACAGGTATATGCCTTCAGGTCACTATGGCCTCTGGTTACAGCACCTAACTCCTCGGAGCCTCGGTTGGCAACCCAGCCATTCCCCTTACTGCCAAGATACCTGTGACGAACCCGTGGGGTGAGGAGTGATACCTCTACACCGACTTTTGGGAGCCGACCATTCACCAACCTCGTCCCCCAGAGTTAAAACCTCCTTCCCCAGAAGGCAGAAACGTCTTCACTCCACATTCCCTCCCTCCCCCAGCTGCTTTCGGCATTCAGAACGCTCAGATCTTGGGACTTCCTGGGGCCACTTACCCGCGCACGTGCACTTCTGGCCGGGACCGTGTACTCACACCCACTTGCCTTGTACTTCCGCTTATCAAGAAGCCTCCTCGGCCACCGTATCCCGCGCGAGGGGGGGGAGGGGGGAAATACCCCGACCGGAACTGGAATAACTGATTAGCCTAAAGAAGCTAGTTACCCGCTAGACCAGCGACAATATCACCTTTCAAAAACAGGTTTCGTCACCAGGAAAGAAGGAATGATATCAAATTTTAAACATAAGTTTACGACAGTAAGGTCCACTTGCTTACCGACAAGCAGAGGAAGTGACGTACAATAGTAATGGCCTTTGCATCATGACGTGTGGAAGTGCCCACACGTTGTTACCCTTGGAGATGGCTGGCGTTAGGGATCCGCCCCCACGCCCAACAGCCTGAAGGATAGCTGTTTGGAAACGATCATTCCAGCCTTCTGAGCGAACTGGCCTTGCTCTCTCTAGCTTCTCGAGTGGTGACACGATCTCCAGCTCTTCAGTCCATTGCCAGCTCCAGCAACTGTGCTGCCACAGTTTCTGGTCCGCGCTCTGCCTACTGGATCTGGCCGCCTCGGAACCTGTCACAACCAGCGGATGGGCTTTTCTCTCGTCTTCGTTCCGGAATTCCTTGTTTCTTCCTGATCTTTTTAACTATGCACCATTGTGGGCTGAACTGTTCTTGTCCTTTTGTCTTGTGGTTTCACTTGTTGAAGGAGGAAATACAGTGCGTGTGTTATGTATATATCTTGATTTGTGCCATTGTCAGTTTGTGTTTTAAAAAACCACGTTATCTGATAGAAAACCAAACTATATTTTAGTTTAGTTAGTTGTTGCTGTTGTTGTTAAGTGCCTGGAGTCGTTTC